AACAGTTTGAAACTAAAACAGTTTAAAACTAACAGTTTGAAACTAAAACAGTTTGAAACTAAAACAGTTTGAAACTAAAACAGTTTAAAACTAAAACAATTTGAAACTAAAACAGTTTAAAACTAAAACTGTTTGAAACTAAAACAGTTTGAAACCAAAACAGTTTGAAACTAAAACAGTTTGGAACTAAAACAGTTTGAAACTAAAACAGTTTGAAACTAAAACAGTTTGAAACTAAAACAGTTTAAAACTAAAACAATTTGAAACTAAAACAGTTTAAAACAAACAGTTTGAAACTAAAACAGTTTGAAACTAAAACAGTTTGAAACTAAAACAGTTTAAAACTAAAACAATTTGAAACTAAAACAGTTTAAAACTAAAACTGTTTGAAACTAAAACAGTTTGAAACCGAAACAGTTTGAAACTAAAACAGTTTGGAACTAAAACCGTTTAAAACTAAAACAGTTTAAAACTAAAACAGTTTGAAACCAAAACAGTTTGAAACTAAAACAGTTTGAAACTAAAACACTTTAAAACTAAAACAGTTTGAAACCAAAACAGTTTGAAACTAAAACTGTTTAAAACTAAAACAGTTTAAAACTAAAACAGTTTGAAACTAAAACAGTTTGAAACTAAAACAGTTTGAAACTAAAACAGTTTGAAACTAGAACAGTTTGAAACTAAAACAGTTTGAAACTAAAACAGTTTAAAACTAAAACAGTTTAAAACTAAAACAGTTTGAAACTAAAACAGTTTAAAACTAAAACAGTTTCAAACTAAAACAGTTTGAAACTAAAACAGTTTAAAACTAAAACAGTTTGAAACTAGAACAGTTTAAAACAAACAGTTTGAAACTAAAACAGTTTGAAACTAAAACAGTTTGAAACTAAAACAGTTTAAAACTAAAACAGTTTAAAACTAAAACAGTTTGAAACCAAAACAGTTTGAAACTAAAACAGTTTGAAACTAAAACACTTTAAAACTAAAACAGTTTGAAACCAAAACAGTTTGAAACTAAAATTGTTTAAAACTAATACAGTTAGAAACTAAAACAGTTTGAAACTAAAACTGTTTGAAACTAAAACAGTTTAAAACTAAAACAGTTTGAAACTAAAACAGTTTGAAACTAAAACAGTTTGAAACTAAAACAGTTTGAAACTAAAACAGTTTGAAACTAAAACAGTTTGAAACCAAAACAGTTTAAAACTAAAACAGTTTGAAACTAAAACAGTTTGAAACTAAAACAGTTTGAAACTAAAACAGTTTGAAACTAAAACAGTTTGAAACCAAAACAGTTTAAAACTAAAACAGTTTGAAACTAAAACAGTTTGAAACTAAAACAGTTTGAAACTAAAACAGTTTGAAACCAAAACAGTTTAAAACTAAAACAGTTTGAAACTAAAACAGTTTGAAACTAAAACAGTTTGAAACCAAAACAGTTTAAAACCAAAACAGTTTAAAACTAAAACAGTTTGAAACTAAAACAGTTTGAAACTAAAACAGTTTGAAACCAAAACAGTTTGAAACTAAAACAGTTTGAAACTAAAACAGTTTCAAACAAAAAGAGTTCAGGTTAACATGATTCCTACAAACATTATTCTGAATATTCTGACCTTCCTTCCTTGTTTCCTTCTTGTGCATCCAGCAGTTTAAACTCCTCCTCGGTTCCTTCCTCGTATCCTTCCTGTTTCTTCCTTCTGCTTTGCTGTTTTCCTTCCTTTCAGACTTTCCTTCATCTCTTCCTTCATTTCCTCCTTCCTAGTTCCTTCCTTTATATCTCTCTACTCTCCTCTCTTCCTTCCTTCTTCATGACTTTTCAGCTTTTTTCACAGATATATTTAAAGCTTCACCATCTGAAGAAATAGATCAGAAATTCGCAGCGTAATGTTTAATATATGAAAATGATCATTAAATGTAGATAGAATCAAACCATTTATTGAAAGTGGAGGCAGAGTTAAACTCTCTGAGCTGCAGGCTGATGTTTCTGTTCCTCAGGTGAGAACAGGTGTGGCCTTGAAAGGGTTAAAGTAATCCAATCTAGACACAGTTTGATCTTTAAATGTTTTCTCAGCCTATAATCTAACCCCAGATTAAAGCGTGCGGCACAGATTGGATAATGTTAACATTACGACAAACGAATGGCTGTTCTGATTGACACTCCGATTTTGTGTGTGTACTGTGGATTGGCATCCAAGTGAGGACATTTCCCGTTCCTTACTTCCTGTTTTTCTGAAGATAGTTATGATCCGTGAAGTTCAGCGTCGATCTGGACCGCCACCCCGGCGGTTACCCAGCGATCACCCGGCGGTCTTCAGTTCTGAACCCTGACCCTCTTTTCCCTCCAGAAAGGAGGCCCTAAATTTCCCTCTGGCTGGATCCAGATGTGGCTGGAAGTGGCTGGATCCAGATGTGGCTGGATCCGGATGTGTCTGGATCCAAAAGTGGCTCGATACAGAAGTGGCTGGATACAGAAGTGGCTGGATCCGGATATGGCTGGATCTGGATGTGGCTGGACCCGGAAGTGGCGGGATCCGGATGTGGCTGGACCCGGATGTGGCTGGATCCAGAATTGGCTGGATCCAGATGTGGCTGGATCCAGAAGTGGCTGGATCCAGATGTGGCTGGATCCAGAATTGGCTGGATCCGGATGTGTCTGGATCCAGAATTGGCTGGATCTAGAATTGGCTGGATCCAGATGTGGCTGGATCCAGAATTGGCTGGATCCGGATGTGGCTGTATCCAGAAGTGGCTGGATCCAGATGTGGCTGGATCCAGAATTGGCTGGATCCGGATGTGGCTGGATCCGGATGTGTCTGGATCCAGAATTGGCTGGATCCAGATGTGGCTGGATCCAGAATTGGCTGGATCCAGAATTGGCTGGATCCGGATGTGGCTGTATCCAGAATTGGCTGGATCCGGATGTGGCTGGATCCGGATGTGTCTGGATCCAGAATTGGCTGGATCCAGATGTGGCTGGATCCAGATGTGGCTGGATCCAGAATTGGCTGGATCCAGAATTGGCTGTATCCGGGTGTGGCTGTATCCAGAAGTATATAATATAATCTAACCCCAGATTAAAGCGTGCGGCACAGATTGGATAATGTTAACATTACGACAAACGAATGGCTGTTCTGATTGACACTCAGATTATGTGTGTGTACTGTGGATTGGCATCCAAGTGAGGACATTTCCCGTTCCTTACTTCCTGTTTTTCTGAAGGTAGTTATGATCCGTGAAGTTCAGCGTCGATCTGGACCGCCACCCCGGCGGTTACCCAGCGATCACCCGGCGGTCTTCAGTTCTGAACCCTGACCCTCTTTTCCCTCCAGAAAGGAGGCCCTAAATTTCCCTCTGGCTGGATCCAGATGTGGCTGGAAGTGGCTGGATCCAGATGTGGCTGGATCCGGATGTGTCTGGATCCAAAAGTGGCTCGATACAGAAGTGGCTGGATACAGAAGTGGCTGGATCCGGATATGGCTGGATCTGGATGTGGCTGGACCCGGAAGTGGCTGGATCCGGATGTGGCTGGACCCGGATGTGGCTGGATCCAGAATTGGCTGGATCCAGATGTGGCTGGATCCAGAATTGGCTGGATCCGGATGTGTCTGGATCCAGAATTGGCTGGATCCGGATGTGGCTGTATCCAGAAGTGGCTGGATCCAGATGTGGCTGGATCCAGAATTGGCTGGATCCACATGTGGCTGGATCCAGAATTGGCTGGATCCGGATGTGGCTGGATCCGGATGTGTCTGGATCCAGAATTGGCTGGATCCAGAATTGGCTGGATCCAGATGTGGCTGGATCCAGAATTGGCTGGATCCGGATGTGGCTGTATCCAGAAGTGGCTGGATCCAGATTTGGCTGGATCCAGAATTGGCTGGATCCGGATGTGGCTGTATCCAGAAGTGGCTGGATCCAGATGTGGCTGGATCCAGAATTGGCTGGATCCGGATGTGTCTGGATCTGGATGTGTCTGGATCCAGAATTGGCTGGATCCAGAATTGGCTGGATCCAGAATTGGCTGGATCCGGATGTGGCTGTATCCAGAAGTGGCTGGATCCAGATGTGGCTGGATCCAGAATTGGCTGGATCCGGATGTGTCTGGATCTGGATGTGTCTGGATCCAGCCACATCCGGATCCAGAATTGGCTGGATCCAGATGTGGCTGGATCCAGAATTGGCTGGATCCGGATGTGGCTGTATCCAGAAGTGGCTGGATCCAGATTTGGCTGGATCCAGAATTGGCTGGATCCGGATGTGGCTGTATCCAGAAGTGGCTGGATCCAGATGTGGCTGGATCCAGAATTGGCTGGATCCGGATGTGTCTGGATCTGGATGTGTCTGGATCCAGAATTGGCTGGATCCAGAATTGGCTGGATCCAGAATTGGCTGGATCCGGATGTGGCTGTATCCAGAAGTGGCTGGATCCAGATGTGGCTGGATCCAGAATTGGCTGGATCCGGATGTGGCTGGATCCGGATGTGTCTGGATCCAGAATTGGCTGGATCCAGAATTGGCTGGATCCAGATGTGGCTGGATCCAGAATTGGCTGGATCCAGATGTGGCTGGATCCGGATGTGTCTGGATCCAGAATTGGCTGGATCCAGATGTGGCTGGATCCAGAATTGGCTGGATCCGGATGTGGCTGTATCCAGAAGTGGCTGGATCCAGATGTGGCTGGATCCAGAATTGGCTGGATCCGGATGTGTCTGGATCTGGATGTGTCTGGATCCAGAATTGGCTGGATCCAGAATTGGCTGGATCCAGAATTGGCTGGATCCGGATGTGTCTGGATCCAGAATTGGCTGGATCCAGATGTGGCTGGATCCAGAATTGGCTGGATCCAGATGTGGCTGGATCCGGATGTGGCTGGATCCGGATGTGGCTGGATCCAGATGTGGCTGGATCCAGATGTGGCTGGATCCAGATGTGGCTGGTTCCAGATGTGCCTCACATTCCTGTTGAGTTAGAGGCTCACCCATTTTTCCTTCTGTTTTCAGGTGAATGCTGATGACATCACTGAAATGCTTCCAAAATCAAGGAGAGCTCTAACCATTCAAGAGATTGCTGCTTTAGCGCGATCCTCTCTGCACGGTAATTGCTTCTTCTCAGAACAAAGCTGCATCTGAATCTGCATCCAAACTGATCCAGCTTTAACATCTTTGCTCTTATGTGACCTGCAGGGATTTCACAGGTTGTCAAGGACCATGTGACCAAGCCTACCGCCATGGCGCAGGGAAGAGTAGCCCACCTGATAGAGTGGAAAGGTTGGTGCAAGCCTATGGACACGCCGGCAGCCCTGGAGTCGGACTTTAACTCGTACTCTGATCTCAGTGAGGGAGAGCAGGAGGCCCGCTTTGCTGCTGGTAAGATCTTTTTATTAGATGGAGTTGTTGCTCCGCCCCTAATCCAAGTCTTTTCCTTGTTGTTTTTATTTGAACAATTACCTGAAAGGATGGGTCAGCGCTAATCTAGTTCACCTGCTCTAGATCTATAGCTCCTGTCTTTGTTAAACACAGCAGGGTAACCAGATCACTAACACTCTAACGTCTGTTTTTCCGTCTGTCCATCCATGGGTCGCTCGCTGCATTGCAGACTCTCAAGGTTAATTTGCACAGTCAGCTTTTGCCGCTGGCTGCTGCTTTCATGACGGAGCAGTTTTCTCTGATCTGCTTCCTCTAGCTCTGCTCTCTCTGTTCTGCTCTCTGATTGGATGTTTCCTGTTCTGCATTCATCTGTTCACACATTAATTATTTGCAACCCTGCTGACAGTTAATTGTTTAAAACTCTTTTGCTTGAACAACAGAAGTCGGATTAATTGTTGGTCAGTAACATTTCTGCTCTTTGACCCCTTTTACTGAATCAGGGATCCTGTTTTATGCCCCCCTCCCTTCAGTTCAGCTCAGATCTGATCTGCAGGGTTTATATCTACGTTATAGGTTGTGAATTGGCGCTTTAGAAAAAAGTGGAATTGAATAGAATGTGTTCATGCATCCAATAAACCCTTTCCTTTAACTTATCAAACGATCCATGTTGTCCCGCTGCTGCTTCAACCATTCCACACCGGGACGTCCAGCAGTGATGAAAGGCAGCGCAGGACGACGGCGTACGCACAGCTGCTGCCTGTTGGTCTGGGGGGTGGGGGGGTGGGGGGCATCATAGCCACGTGTCCCTACCAAGAATCTGAGTTGATATTAGGATACGAAACTAGTCCCTATTAAACACGCTACGCTGAAACAGGTGGAAGCTGCTGATTGTAGTTCTATAAAGAACTACAATCAGGAAGTATTTGTTCCTTCAGAATTAAACAATATTTAATTCTAAAGGATTAAACAGTTTATGCTGATGAAGATTCTCCGTCATCCAGGTCATTCCGTAAAAGTTTAAAAAACTGCTCTAAGTGGGTTCCTCTGTCAGCTAACAGCCTGTTTTAGAGTCTCTATACTTCAGTTAACGATGAAACAATTACTAAATTAATTGATTATTTCAATAATTGATTAATCTGATGAATACTTTAAATAGTTTGGGCCTTAGATAAAATACATGAAATGGGATAAACAGAGGAACTTAAGCCCAGATCTACAGCTTTTATAGTGAAATTAATATTTTAAACGCTCAGTGTCACTTCCTCTTCTAGTTCCACTGCTCATGTAAATACAATAGATTTATTTACGTCACTTTAATCTTGAAAACCAAGTCCAGTGGATATTTTTTGAATTTTTACGGAATAACCTTTAATCTATTATTTTCCTTTGTTTAATGATAAAGAGAAAGCATATAAAAGATAACAGCAGGTTTTACTTCTGTTTACCTCAATTATACCACAATTCTACAGGTTCAAATAAAAATCCAGGATAAATCCTCAGACATAAATGAAAGAGCGTCCAGCCCGATGGTCTGCTCAGGGAAACCCCGCCCCCAGCTTCCTGCTGCCGTTCTGTTCTCCAATCAGGTTATTGGCATCATGACCGCACAGAGGAAGGCGCTGGGACGCTGGAACCGACACAGAGGAAGCATCTAAAGACGGCAAAGGGAGACAATCCGGCGGGAGACCTCAGTTCTCCTAAATCAGCCATCATTAGCAGTTAGCCCTGTTTAACCTGGGGAGGGCGCCAGAGAGACGCTTTTAGATGCAAAAACAGGATTTTGTGCATTAAAGTATCAAATGAATGCCGGTTCCCTCAGCTTTGATCCCCACAGTGAAACATTTCATTTCTTTGGTAGATGAGAGGAAACGCCGAGTCTCACTGATCCATCCAGCAGCTTTTTACTTTCTCAGGAATGATGTTGTGTTCACTAACCTGTTCACTACAACAGAAGGCTGCTGCTCTAACCTGGAGCTGCACTGACGCCCAGTCACAATGCAGCCTCCTTGTTACCATGCCAACCCTGTGATTGACACCAGCTCATGTGTGCACCGGGTGTGTGCAGGTGTGGCGGAGCAGTTTGCCATCGCCGAGGCAAAGCTGAGGGCCTGGTCCTCGGTGGACGGCGACGAGTCCAACGATGACTCATATGATGAAGACTTCCTCCCTGCCAGCGAGCCCGCCACGCAGAGCACAGGTACCCCCCCATCCCGCCTCCCTCTCTTTGTCCCACTGCCCCAGTTTCCATGTTCCTGTCTGTGCGGTTCGATGCTCTGCTGCAGGTCGAATATCACTTCCTTTGCTGCAGAGGCTGCATCTGTGTCAGCATTGTGTGTAGTGGGTTAGAAAGGCACCCGGCTCCTCAGCTTTCATCTTTATTACACTCATGCAGTCCTGCAGCAAACGAGTTACAGCAGCCTTCTACTCGCCGCATCATGCAGACTAATGATGATAAATGAGGATCTAGAATCTCTGTCTTAGTTTCCAGCTGCTTCATAATGAAATCGATTAGATCATTTTTATTACTCTTTTGTTTTTCATCTCCATGAAATGTTGCAGTGAGTCTGCAGACAGAGTGAAGCCTGACAGGAGCGTCTCTAACCATGGATCCTGTTACAGTAAAGTAATGCTTTTCTCTGCAGAGCTGTCAGCTTACCCGCCGTACCTGAAGGAGCTGATCCACAGCCAGCTGTGCCAGCAGCTGGGCCTGCGGAGGCCCTGCTCTGACAGCGCAGCAGAGATCGGAGAGGGAGGGGGCAGCAGGGAGCCCTCCCCCACGGCCGGCTCTCCGGACACGCTGTGCTCCAGCCTCTGCAGCCTGGATGAGCAGCACCCGCTGCTGCGAGACCTGGGGAGACAGCGCAGCAAAAACGCTAAGAACAACGCCGCTGAGCTCGCTGCCAAGATCCTGTCTGCGCTGCATGGAGGGGAGGAGCTGCTGGCCCGCCTCCAGAGGGCGGGGCATGGCGGGGGGGGGGCGGGGGAGCAGGTCCTATGGAGGTCAGGACTCCCCTTGCTACTCCATGTCTTATTCTGAAACCTACCTGTCGCCCGGCGAGGATGATGACAGCCCCTGCAAGGACTACGAAGGCAGCCTGTGCCCTGAGGAGGCAGAAGGCCGGGGGGCGCAGTACCCCCCAGGCTATGACCCCCGCAGGAGGGTGTCTGATGTGGCCTCCTCAGGGGTCGTTTCGCTGGACGAAGAGGAGGAAGAGGAGGAAGAGGTGGAGAGAGCAGGAGCTCCCAAAAACCCATGAGTGACCTAAGCATGTGGGCGGGGCCAGCAGCTGCTCCCCTCTTCATCATGGTGGGAGGAGTTTGCCCCCCAGTGACCTTTGCCTTATGGCGGCATGTCCCGCCCTCCTCTCCATGGTTCAGGTGTTCGCTGAGCGGACGGAGCAGCAGAAGGTCCAAACATCTGACCTGCATGAGCTGACCTGGACTGAAGCACGTTTCCTGACCCCCCCGGGTCCTGGCACCCCCCCTGCATCCTTCTGGGCATTGCTTGCAGAATATGCCAAACTATTTAACCCTTTCATTCACTGCGAGTCTAAACAAAGCAACAGTTGGTTCCCATTGCTGTCAATCTCCTGGGTTCCGTTCTTCATGGTGGACTGTTTCCTCCCGTTTCCTCCCGTTTCCTCCTGTTTCCTGCCGTTTCCTCCCGTTTCCTCCCGTTTCCTCCTCTCGGCAGGAACCTGGAAGACAACGAAGATTTGCCGTCAGCGTTTAGCAGCGAGCCACAGAAACAGACTGAAGATTTTTCTATATTTTTGTATGCATCGTCTTGCTTTGATCTTTGCCTATGCGGCTGCCGGTGAATGTGTTTTTTTGCACGACGCTAATGTGGCTGTAGATTCTCCTGTTCTTCGTTATCACTGTGTGATATAGTGTACTGGGAAAAAACAATCCAAATGTGAACTGGTTTTTTAGAGGAAACTGTGAAACAATCATTTTCTGTCATGCAGACCCCCCCCCCCCCCGGCGCCTGCAGAAAGGCGTGTTAATGTGTCGCATTCAGAGCCTCCATCTCCATGTTGAAGTTCTCTCTGAGACAAAAGGTGTTTCACAAACTCAGGAAAAGCTGTGGATGAATGCGCTGCAGAGCCGGTTCCATGGAATTCCAGAACCGGTTCCATGGAATTCCAGAGTCCGCTCCATGGAATTCCAGAGCAGGTTCCATTGAATTCCAGAGCCGGTTCCATGGAATTCCAGAGTCCGCTCCATGGAATTCCAGAGCAGGTTCCATGGAATTCCAGAGCCGGTTCCATGGAATTCCAGAGTCCGCTCCATGGAATTCCAGAACTGGTTCCATTGAATTCCAGAACCGGTTCCATGGAATTCCAGAGCCGGTTCCATAGAATTCCAAAGCCTGTTCCATGGAATTCCAGAACCGGTTCCATGGAATTCCAGAGCCGGTTCCATAGAATCAGCCGTGGTTTGGAGGCTGCTAGGATTCCTCCTCCTTTAGCCATTAGAGACACAGAGCGGTGGTTAGCTAGCCCGCTAGCAGCTGAAGGATCAGACGCTCAGTTTTAGTTTGAAACAGAAACAATTTTTGTTGACGTTTCAGTTCTACTGCATATTCTAACATGGGCAGACTGGGAGATGTAACTGGGATATGTAACTGGGAGATGTAACTGGGATATGTATCCCATAATATTAACCCACGGGGCAAAGACTCAGCTTCAACATCAGGAATGAACTGGAACCAGATTTCGACGTTAGGCGGCGTTAAATCTACGCTTCACCTCGACTGAAACGTCTCAGTCTGCTTCAGAATCTTTGCGTCATTGCCATGGTAACCTGCTCATCATGTGAACCCCCCCCCCCCCCTTCTCTTTGGACCAGAGCAGACTGGTTCCCTCAGCATGTGTTTGTGTTTGACGTTTTTTGTGAAGTTGTGCATCAGATTGTTCGCCGTGATGTCATCCGGCGCTCCAAGCTGGAACCGTAAATTCATTCCAAAATCCTCCGACGCAGAAATTCCCTTTAAGCGTCTCTCAGGCCGGCGAGCCGCTGCCTTTCATAGAGGCGCCTGGTGAGACTGCAACATCTCAGGGGGAACCATTGAAGCTGTGCCTTCATACATCACCTTTGACCTCTCCCACGCATCATCATCATCATCATCATCAGACACAGCAAAGGGCAGCGGTTGGACAGGAAACCCTGATGCTGCTCCTTCATCAGGTTTGTTTGACACTGCAGGCCGTGTGATGGCGGCGAGGTGAGGTCATCGGAGCGTGGTGACGCCAGCGGGCCATTGTTCATCCCCGTTAGCGTCTCTATCAGCTGTCCTTTACTCTGCACGTCTGTCAAACGTCTCCATCTTTGTCCCTCCGGTCTGCATCATCACTCAGACGTCTGAGGAGCTCGGCGCTGTCGTCTGACACCGTTTGTCCTCTCTGGGGTGAAGCCGATGAGCCGCTGATACAGCCTGATGAATGCGTTCCCTCTCCCACCGCCTCTCCTCTCTGTCTCTGTCCTTTGTCTTCATTCTGCCGCCTACAGTCTTTTTCTGTCCCTCAGTCTCTCCATCCGTCCCCACGGGGGGCTTATTACGTCAATATCAGGACATTTAAGTGCTACCTTTGCCGAAAGGCAATTATCCTGCGATTAGAGAAGCGACTGAACATCAGGAGAAGCGAATCTCTCTCCTCTTTTCTCCTTTTTCTCCTTCAGTCCATCTGCTCTCTCCTCTCTCTCCTCAAACCCTCCTCTCCTCCAAATGGCAGCTTTTAAGCTCCGCTGCCCCAGAAGCGCTGCTCTGTTTGAAAGCGATGGGACGCCGGGTGTCCTCGCTCAGAGACGCCGGGTGTCCTCTCTCAGAGACGCCGGGTGTCCTCGCTCAGAGACGCCGGGTGTCCTCGCTCAGAGACGCCGGGTGTCCTCGCTCAGAGACGCCTCCCTCTCCACGCCGTGCTTCTCCTCGGTGGGATCGTTATCTGCTCCACATTCTGTGGGTCTGAGGGAACAGCTTCTATAAAAAGACATCCAAACATGTGTTGGTCAGCGTGGAGGCAGCAGAGATGCTCACATGGGGGCCCCTGAGGCCCTATAACCTACTTAGCATTTCTAAACAAAGCCTGGGGGCCGACCCCCCCCCCATTGGCTGATTGGGTCAGAAGCAGAAAACGGAGCAAAGGCCGAGTAGAACCTGTTTCTGACCCCAATCAGTTCCAATCTGAAGGAGGAAGGCCCTCAGAGCAGAACAGCAAGAGGGCCAAAGCCATAACACCCCCTAGGTAGACCCCCCCATACACCCCCCAGGTAGACCCCCCCATACACCCCCTAGGTAGACCCCCCCATACACCCCCCAGGTAGACCCCCCCATACACCCCCTAGGTAGACCCCCCCATACACCCCCCAGGTAGACCCCCCCATACACCCCCCATGTAGAAACCAACAGGCTCCATCCTAAACCCACAGCTAAATGGCCGAGGAACAGGGAGGGGTCATCAGTCGGTCCTCACAGGTCACTAATCCATTACCACACACACAGCGAGTGGGCGGGGCTTCATTTCATCATCGCGGCAGCCCCTCCCACTTCCTGCTTCCTGTCCAGATCTCAGTTTCTCTCCTTCTTGGCTGAATGTAATTATTTAATTATTGTTATCTTGGATTGAAAATGAAAATATTTGTTTGATGCATCTGATATTAAAATAAATAAAATATTGCTAATGTTCTCAGAATCTGCTCCTCATGTCTTTACTGATGAAAGCTGGACGCCATCAGAGATGATTGGAGCTCTGCTGAACGCCATCCGATCCCATCCTTCCCGGGAACGCCGAGTAAATCCCAGGAAGGTTTACAGAAAATGATCCGTTTTCTAACAAGATTCATATAAAAACTGTTTGAATGTTAAACTTTTTGCTCATTTTAAGAGTTGATGTCTTAAAGGCTCCAACTTTTACTGATTTTTAAACCTTTTCACAGAAACATCTGCAGCTTCTTTTGGTCTAAAATGCTGAGAAAGGAAACAGAAATAAAACTTCTTTGTTTGTTTGCTGTTTTATTTAGAAATAATTCCTTTTACAACATTTTCCTGATTTCACCTGAATCTCAGCTAAATATGGAAATCCAGGAAATGGGAGGAGCGTCTGGAACTGGTTCAGGGTTTCTGGGTGAAAAGGCTTCAGATCTGATCAATGAATGTTTAACATGAACGCAGACGTCAGAGCAAACGGCTGAAGCTCCTGTACTCAGATCTATAGAACTGCAGAGGTAGAAGTTTTCTTGCTAATTTTGTTGGTTTTTCTACATGTAAACGTTGCAGATCATCAGAATCCTTTTACCACCAGAGGTTAATAAATAAAGATATTTTTAAAGTGTTAATTTAATTTATTGAATAGAGGAACCATCTGATCCAGCCTGTTGACCTCTGACCCTAAACGCAGCGAGGAGAACAGGGAACTCTGCTCCTTTATGGGTAGCTCCATACTTTGACTAGGCCGCTCTAACAGCTCATTCACTGATGCTGCAGATTCTGCTTCAAGATTTTCTGTTGGAGAGATTTTCTCCATCCAGATCCTGATGCAGCAAACTGGCCCCAAACCCACACCACTAGTACCACCACCACCAGCAGCACCACCATCACCACCACCACCAGCAGCACCACCATCACCACCATCACCAGCAGTACCACCACCACCAGCAGCACCACCATCACCACCACCACCAGCAGCACCACCATCACCACCATCACCAGCAGTACCACCATCACCAGCAGCATCACCAGCAGCACCACCATCACTAGCAGCACCACCACCACCAGCAGCACCACCACCACCAGCACCATCACCAGCAGCAACAGCACCACCATCACCAGCAGCAGCAGCACCACCATCACCAGCAGCACCATCGCCAGCACCATCACCAGCAGCACCATCGCCAGCACCATCACCAGCAGCACCACCAAAACCATCACCACCAACAGCACCACCATCACCAGCAGCACCACCATCACCAGCACTAGCAGCACCATCACCAGCAGCAACAGCACCACCATCACCAGCAGCAGCAGCACCACCATCACCAGCAGCACCATCGCCAGCACCATCACCAGCAGCACCATCGCCAGCACCATCACCAGCAGCACCATCACCAGCAGCAACAGCACCACCATCACCAGCAGCACCATCGCCAGCACCATCACCAGCAGCACCATCGCCAGCACCATCACCAGCAGCACCATCACCAGCAGCAACAGCACCACCATCACCAGCAGCACCATCGCCAGCACCATCACCAGCAGCACCATCGCCATCACCACCACCACCAGCACCATCACCAGCAGCAACAGCACCACCATCACCAGCAGCAGCAGCACCACCATCACCAGCAGCACCATCGCCAGCACCATCACCAGCAGCACCATCGCCAGCACCATCACCAGCAGCACCACCAAAACCATCACCACCAACAGCACCACCATCACCAGCAGCACCACCATCACCAGCACTAGCAGCACCATCACCAGCAGCACCACCAGTACCAGCACCATGACCAGCACCACCATCACCAGCAGCACCACCACCAGCAGCACCACCATCACCAGCACCACCATCACCAGCAGCACCACCAACACCAGCACTAGCAGCACCATCACCAGCAGCACCACCAAAACCAGCACTAGCAGCACCATCACCAGCAGCACCACCAGTACCAGCACCACCACCAGCACCACCATCACCAGCAGCACCACCACCAGCAGCACCACCAAAACCAGCACCAGCAGCACCATCACCAGCAGCACCACCAGTACCAGCACCACCACCAGCACCACCATCACCAGCAGCACCACCACCAGCAGCACCACCAAAACCAGCACCATCACCACCACCAGCACCACCATCACCAGCAGCACCATCACCACCAGCAGCACCACCACCACCAGCAGCACCACCATCACCAGCAGCACCACCATCACCAGCAGCACCAGCAGCACCACCACCACCAGCAGCACCACCATCACCAGCAGCACCACCATCACCAGCAGCACCAGCAGCACCATCACCAGCAGCACCAGCAGCACCATCACCAGCAGCACCAGCAGCACCATCACCAGCAGCACCAGCAGCACCATCACCAGCAGCACCATCACCAGCAGCAACAGCACCACCATCACCAGCAGCACCAGCAGCAGCAGCACCACCATCACCAGCAGCACCAGCAGCACCATCACCAGCAGCACCATCACCAGCAGCAGCAGCACCACCATCACCAGCAGCACCAGCAGCAGCAGCACCACCATCACCAGCAGCACCATCGCCAGCACCATCACCAGCAGCACCACCAAAACCATCACCACCAACAGCACCACCATCACCAGCAGCACCACCATCACCAGCACTAGCAGCACCATCACCAGCAGCACCACCAGTACCAGCACCACCACCAGCACCACCATCACCAGCAGGACCACCACCAGCAGCACCACCAGCACCATCACCACCAACAGCACCACCACCACCAGCAGCACCACCAAAACCATCACCACCAACAGCACCACCATCACCAGCAGCACCACCATCACCAGCACTAGCAGCACCATCACCAGCAGCACCACCAGTACCAGCACCATCACCAGCACCACCATCACCAGCAGCACCACCACCAGCACCACCATCACCAGCAGCACCATCACCAGCACCACCACCACCATCACCATCACCAGCAGCACCACCAGTACCAGCACCACCACCAGCACCACCATCACCAGCACCACCATCACCAGCAGCACCATCACCAGCAGCACCACCACCAGCAGCACCACCAAAACCAGCACCATCACCAGCACCACCATCACCAGCAGCACCACCACCAGCACCACCATCACCAGCAGCACCATCACCAGCACCACCACCACCAGCACCATCACCACCATCACCAGCAGCACCACCAGTACCAGCACCACCACCAGCACCACCATCACCAGCACCACCATCACCAGCAGCACCATCACCAGCAGCACCACCACCAGCAGCACCACCAAAACCAGCACCATCACCAGCACCACCATCACCAGCAGCACCACCATCACCACCAGCACCACCATCACCAGCACCACCACCACCAGCACCATCACCACCATCACCAGCAGCACCACCAGTACCAGCACCACCACCAGCACCACCATCACCAGCACCACCATCACCAGCAGCACCATCACCAGCAGCACCACCACCAGCAGCACCACCAAAACCAGCACCATCACCAGCACCACCATCACCAGCAGCACCACCATCACCACCAGCACCACCATCACCAGCACCACCATCACCAGCAGCACCACCAAAACCAGCACCATCACCAGCACCACCATCACCACCAGCACCACCATCACCAGCAGCACCACCATCACCAGCAGCACCATCACCACCAGCACCACCATCACCACCAGCACCACCATCACCAGCAGCATCACCATCACCAGCACCACCATCACCAGCAGCACCACCATCACCAGCACCACCATCACCAGCAGCACCACCATCACCAGCAGCACCATCACCACCAGCACCACCATCACCACCAGCACCACCATCACCAGCACCACCATCACCAGCAGCACCACCAAAACCAGCACCACCATCACCAGCAGCACCATCACCACCAGCACCACCATCACCAGCAGCACCACCATCACCAGCAGCACCATCACCACCAGCACCACCATCACCACCAGCACCACCATCACCAGCAGCACCACCATCACCAGCACCACCATCACCAGCAGCACCACCATCACCAGCACCACCATCACCACCAGCACCACCATCACCAGCACCACCATCACCAGCACCACCATCACCAGCAGCACCACCATCACCAGCACCACCATCACCAGCAGCACCACCATCACCAGCACCACCATCACCAGCAGCACCACCATCACCAGCAGCACCATCACCACCAGCACCACCATCACCACCAGCACCACCATCACCAGCACCACCATCACCAGCAGCACCACCAAAACCAGCACCATCACCAGCACCACCATCACCACCAGCACCACCATCACCAGCAGCACCACCATCACCAGCAGCACCATCACCACCAGCACCACCATCACCACCAGCACCACCATCACCAGCAGCACCACCATCACCAGCACCACCATCACCAGCAGCACCACCATCACCAGCACCACCATCACCACCAGCACCACCATCACCAGCACCACCATCACCAGCACCACCATCACCAGCAGCACCACCATCACCAGCACCACCACCA